GGAGACGACCCTACTTATCGCTATCACAAGTGTGTATAAGAGATAATAGGCTTATTTTCATAAATTTTATTATTTGCCGGACTCGACACCCGTCAGAAAGCGATGTGGATAATATTTTTACCCGTTCATTCTTTTGTGGTACAAATAGAAGTAGTAAGTTTAACATTAATTGGATTGCGTGGTTAGCATGTGAACTATTTTTCTAGCTTCTTACTAGGTTTTTTTATAAAATATTTGTCGTTTCAAAAAAAAACTTTATACGGATATCATACCTCAATTTGGGATAGGAGTACAATAAAAATCGTATTGTTTGAAATTAGTCGATTTGTAGATTGATTAAAACTTGGTAAAGATTTTGAAATTATGTATAAAGTTGATTTGATATTTGATTACCCTTACTTGTTTCATAATAGTTTGCTCTGTTGTCAAATTAAGAGGTCGAACTAGATTTTTGAAACAAATTCTTATGAAATATTTTGGATGTATTATGCTATGATTACCGTAAACAACGTTTTGAAATTCTTTTCTACTTCTAGACGAGAACATAAATTTGATATTCGAGAACTCACATAAAATTAATCTTCGGACCAATTTGAATATTGACTGTGTTATAGCCATAGAAGAGCTCACTACGAAATTTGGTCGGAAGTGTCTTTTTTTCCAAAAAAAAGCTTTTAAAGATAAATCATTTAACGAGCTAGGATACTAATTAGTATTGTACTAAACTAGATAAATAATTTTTATGTCTAAAAACATAGACTTTTTGCAGGGCAAATAAGGAAAAACAAGATTGCTAGAGTTCTCAAACAGAATAACTAAAAGTCTTTAGACATGTTCATAGTTTTCAATCCCCGGTTCACAATAGCATCCTTTGCATGTAATGTAGGAAAAAAAAACCATAGTTGATGAGAAACATTAGAGCACTTTATACAACAATGAATTAAATAGACTTACAGCAATGAATCTGTTAAGCACGTTTTAATTCATGTCTAGTGATAGTTTTGCATTGCATTTCATGTGCATTTCGTTTGGGGTTCATGCATTTTAAGCATCTTTTGGCTATTTTCCCCTTTTTATTCTATTGAGTTAACTATGTGTTTATATTGAAGTGATTTCATAGACTTTGGGTAAGGTTTTGCAGATTTCAGGTGTTTACTCGGTACCCAAAGCTAATGCACCACTTGATGATCATGAAGTGGGTGATTCCAAAGATAATAATGAAGAATTAAAGATGGAGAAGAATGAAGAGGTCGAGAAGGCGAAAAATGAAGAAATATGAAGATTTTTGAAGAGCACGGCCAGGATTCATTTATGCATGTGGCCATGCTAAAACCACCAAAGTTGATATTTCAATCTTTATGCTAAGCACTGTCGTGTGTGGTTTAATTTTAAGGTGCGGTCGTGCTCGTCAAAAAGTAAACCCATGATTTTGTTATTTATGGTGGGTATCATTTGAGATATTTTGGCTAACTCTATTTAAAGGCTTTTTGCCTAGGTTGTCTTGGAATGTACACCATTAGACGATACACTTCTCATATACTAGGGTTTGTTGCATTTTCAAGGTTTTAGCCCTTTTTTGATTATTTTTTTCCCTACACATCGGGGATGAAAAACTCCATGGGAACAACCTAGTGCATGTGGTTTGAATTTTTTTAGATATCGAATCAACGATTATTGAGTATCCACATCTCGATCTTTTTATCTTTATCATGTTATTATTGAATTCTTGTTTCTAGGTTAACTTTTCTACAAGTCATAATAGTTCATTCAAGTTTCTGATGTCGTTATTAAAGGCTAGATTGATGAATTAATCGTTTGGTTGTATTCTATGCTTCTTAGATTTGATTTTCTGCAATAGTTTGTTGAGTCCATTACTTGTTCTTGGT